AGAGATCCTCAGAAAATTAACAGTGTCGTCATTTGCGAAGCAGGGAAAAAGACACAACAACACCAAAAAAAGAGAGAGAAATAGGAAGAGAATCCTTCTAACGTCACTTGACAGCAGTCAGTCATTCCGACAACTGTTTCATCACACAAAATAACAGGGGGCTTTTCAAAAAGTCACGAATCAGTTGGCAGTAAAAAGTACAGTACAGAAACATCTCTTTCCAGCAATTTTATTTTCAGGTCGCCTTCCAAAAGGAAAACGTATCAAAAAATTCCCTTTCGAATCTTTTCTTTCATCCGGAAGCCGCAAGGATTTTCATTTTTTAAATTTGGAAAATTAGTCAAATCATGGAAACTTTTATTTTTAGAGATGAACAATTTTCAGGGGCAAAGAGAATCCAAAAGACGGAGGAGACAGCTGAGAAACCCTCGAGCACTTTTAAAATTTGACAAAAAAAATGTCAGATAAAACGAAAGGATCATCGCCAAAAATCAGAAACATCTTCAGATTACAGTATTTTATAGGTCTTTCAAACAATTTTTAATTTTATATCCTGACATTAAAGGTATGCAATTTTTTTTCTCTCAGAACCAAAACAAAATCGAGTTCAAAACTTCAGCAGCAGTTTTCATCCGCCTGCGTGGTGATACATAAAATTTTTGGAAAACCCCCCCTCAGTAGAGTTACTGTCTCCTTACACGGAAATAGGGGGAAATGAAGAATTAAGTCCCTCGCTCTTGTCAGTAAGAAACAAATTAAAACATCGATCAGCCCAATCAGACGAAAATTGAGCCACAGTAATTTTCTACACGCGCCGAAAAACGTCGTTCCGCAGAGCAGCAATTATTCCGGCTCCGGCGGCAATAATTCGCTTTCGTTCCCCCATCTCATATCCGGATAATTACGACCGATCCAGAAATTCCTCACATTAGGGTTTTCACGGCAATTAAATTAAGCGAATTCCAGCGACTGGTTCCTTCCCCGTGGAAGTCGTGATTAAAATCTTAGTCTTAGTTTCGAATATTTATCGAGAGCTGATTCGGAACACCTGGAAAATTAACTGGATGTAGGAACTTTTTATCGCGATAATTTTTTTTTATTGTTATAAATTTTCAACTATTGTACAATGAAAATTTATTCCAAATTGAGTAATGTCACTAAAACAAACACAAAATCCCAACTGGATTTCATTTTACACCGAATTTCTGTAATTTTCTCAAGTTTGTCGCAGGTGATCGTAAGCATTCAGGGTTAAATGATGTCCACTTCAACGAATATTTGGTCAGGAAACTCGAAAATTCAATTTTAAACTGCGTAATGTAAATTACACCATCAAGTTTTCTGGGACATGATCAGAAAAATAGCACGAATAATTCGGTTTCAGATGAAATCTCAACAAAATGAGGACAAATTTTTTTTTTAGTTTCCCCTGCTCTGAAAAATTAGGCGTAAAATTTTCTCGGAAATATTCATCCCCGCCACTTTTGATGCAAGTTCACCCAAAAACGCAAACACTGATTTTAAAAATTTCACGCCGAATAAATTGACACACGGTATTTCTCGAGATATATTCATCAGGTATTAGAAAAAAAAAATTTTTTCCATCTGGGGATGAATAACTCCCGAACCCTTGATCTGAAAATAAGTTATCCCCGGAAAGAACATTCCTAGGAAGATAATAAGATCTTGCTAATGGACAACTCGGAAAAGGTTTGTGTGCTAAAACGCATTCTTCGACAGTAAGGGAAGTTTTCGGGATTGC